TATGTTGTATGTATGTTGTATGTATGTTGTATGTATGTTGTATGTATGTTGTATGTATGTTGTATGTATGTTGTATGTATGTTGTATGTATGTTGTATGTATGTTGTATGTATGTTGTATGTATGTTGTATGTATGTTGTATGTATGTTGTATGTATGTTGTATGTATGTTGTATGTATGTTGTATGTATGTTGTATGTATGTTGTCTTTCATATTTGATTAGTTTGTTTGAGTGCAGGTGTCACGTAATATCAACTCGTAGTACACTCAATCTTGTTAATTAAGTTAATAATGTTTAAAAACTATCGTCTTCTCTGCTAGATGTAAACGAGTGCCTTACAGACATTTGTAAGAATGAAGCAACATGCGAGAATGATGTCGGTAGCTACACGTGTTTTTGTACACCTGGATGGACAGGAAGAAACTGCTCTGACGGTAACTATAGCCCTCGATAGCTCGCTGAGATGATAAACGTAACGATGACATGTAGGTTATAACGGACACTTTATGATAAACGTAACGATGACATGTAGGTTGTAACGCACACGTTATGGTAAACGTAAGGATGATAAACGCAACGATGACATGTAGGTTGTAACGCACACGTTATGGTAACCGTAACGGTTACATGTAGGTTGTAACGCACACTTTATGGTAAACGTAACGATGATAAACGTAACGATGACATGTAGGTTGTAACGCATACGTTATGGTAAACGTAACGGTGATAAACGTAACGATGACATGTAGGTTATAACGCACACGTTATGATAAACGTAACCGTGGTGACACGTAGGTTATAATGCACAGGGATCACAATCGTTTAATTCAGTCGCAATGATATTATTGTCATTATCATAGATATCAACGAATGTTCACAAAAGCCCTGCAAAAATGGAGGAACTTGCATCAATAACCCTGGCAGTTATATTTGTGTCTGCCCTGAAGAATGGAAAGACCATCATTGTGATCAAGGTCTCATTAGCTTTTGGTCCACRTTATGCTTACGATAATGCTTATGCTTGTTGCTATGTGTATGTCGATGCCCTATTTAAGTTGACTTTATTCCTTTGTCTTTTGTTTTGTTCTCGACTTATGATTATGCTTACGCCGTCGTATTAGGAAACCTAAGTTTCAATTTATTAAATCAAACCATTTTGATTTTATTCTTCATTAGACGTTGATGAATGTTTAACGAATCCATGTAAAAATCAAGGAACATGTCAAAATAAGATAGGTGGCTATTCGTGTACCTGTGTGTATGGCTGGAGAGGAAAAAATTGTGATAAAGGTAACTTACATACTACATATTAGCCATATTATGACCCTCAGAGAATCTCTTCCTCGTTTCCGTTACAGTGTCATATCTTTTTAGCGCTTGATGACTCTCTATTAGGTAATTTTTCTATTCTCATACATGTTTAATCACCATTCAACTACAAACTGTACTTCCGCACCAGTGTATTTCCACTGCTTTTCGTTTTAAAATATGTTAATGCTTCAGACATCAACGAGTGTGTGAACAATCCATGTCAGCAGCATTCACAATGCATCAATACTCCTGGGACCTACTCGTGCACTTGTAAAACTGGCTGGCAAGGGAAGCAATGTAGCAGAGGTAACATGAACGTTGACTCAATAATAATAATGGTAATAATAATGATGCATTTTACATGTACATTATGCATACAAGAAATTGATTGATTGCTTGCTTGCTTGCTTGCTTGCTTGCTTGCTTGCTTGCTTGCTTGCTTGCTTGCTTGCTTGCTTGCTTGCTTGATTGCTTGATTGATTGATTGATTGATTGATTGATTGATTGATTTTAATAAAATACTCTAGTTTTAATGGAACAATTGATCAATCTCCGTTTTTGTTTAGATATCGACGAGTGCTTGAATTATCCATGCAAGAATGGAGGATCGTGTACGAATAGTCCTGGAACCTACTTCTGCACTTGCAAGTCAGGCTGGACCGGTGGAAACTGTGAGATAGGTACAACACCACTTTTAGTACATACATAATTCATTTGATTGTTCGATAAATCATGATAACCATTAGCACAACAATAACAACAACAGCAACAGCAATAACAACAACAACAACAACAACAACAACAACAACAACAACAACAGTAACGGCAACAGCATTTTGACCGTCATTATTTTGTCATCGTGAGTGTCCGATTTCAAGGCAGGGATTTCTTGGTCCCTGGGATTTTTTTATACCGATACGGTAACGGTTTGTTGTCTCCCTCAGATGTCGACGAATGCCTGGCTAATCCATGTCACAACCAAGGAACATGTAACAATACCCTTGGTAGCTATATATGCAACTGTACGTTGGAATGGCAAGGGCAACACTGCGATCAAGGTCCGTATTCAACTTTGCCTTTCTAATGCACTGAARCAGACCTTATACGCTGAGCTTCAGGCAGCTTTTTAGAATTTTGTCGTATAGAAAATCAAATGAYCAATTAATTGTCGTTATTTCTCAATATTAGATGTAGATGAATGTCCCACAGAACCTTGTCAAAACAACGGTACATGCATCAATACTGAAGGAAACTACACGTGTGACTGTACGGCATCATGGCAGGGGCATAACTGTGACATAGGTAAGCGATTTACCGAACACTCCCGCCCAGAACCCTTTCACTGGAAAAAATCGTTCATTTYAAAAKGDTGTAAATTTGATGTAAATATTATGTAAGTGTCCAAAATAATGTAAATTTGATGTAAATATTATGTAAGTGTCCAAAATAATGTAAATTTGATGTAAATATTATGTAAGTGTCCAAAATAATGTAAATTTGATGTAAATTTGATGCTTACATTTGATGTAAATTTACATCAAATTTACATCATTTTGGACACTTACATAATATTTACATCAAATTACATCAAATTTACATCAAATTTACATCATTTTGGACACTTACATAATATTTACATCAAATTACATCAAATTTACATCATTTTGGACACTTACATAATATTTACATCAAATTTACAACCTTTAAAGCGCGCGATTTTTTCCAGTGTTTCCCACTTCCCCAAACCCACCTATATACCTCCTCTTACTAGCAACATCTCAGTACAGACATATCGTCTTGTGTTTTGTTTTCTTAAAGATATCGACGAATGTTTGAACAACCCCTGCAAGGATAAAGGAGTGTGTATTAATGCTGCTGGAAGCTATGCTTGCACTTGTAAATCAGGATGGAAAGGGCAAGACTGTGATATAGGTATATGTAACATTGGCAAATCATCCGGCGGAGCTTTCTAAGTCCGCTATGAAACGATATCTAAGTAGTTCCTATACTAGCTCTGTATTTAGTGACTAGAGCGGATTTCGTATGAGTGGGACACCGTTACCGCAAGGTTACCGCACAGTTACTGGACCTGGCCTTCAAAATTTTGGTGAACCAATGGGGCACTAGAATTTGGTTATAGTACGATTACGGTCACAGTACAGTACCGTCCGTTTCCCACTCATACGAAATCCTCTCTAGTAGACTATCATTACTCTTTTTTGGTGTACTTTGCTTTAGATGTCAACGAGTGTTCAAACAACGTATGCAAGCACCAAGGAACGTGCACCAACACCGTTGGAAGCTATACATGTGAATGTGCATCAGGGTGGAAGGGGCATGACTGTGAAATAGGTATACATTAAAAAGACACGATTTCACGGTTTCATTCCCAAAAAATATATTGGTTCCAGTTATGGAAACAACTTATTTTGTCTTCTTTATAATGATTAAGGTGAATTGCTTTTTTTGGGGTTAACATTGTGCTAACGATGTGTGTCATTAAAATGATAGATGTGGATGAGTGTTTAAATAATCCATGTACTAACAATGGAACTTGTGATAATACTGCCGGTTCCTACATATGTAACTGCAAACAAGGATGGCAAGGAAAAAACTGTGAAAAAGGTAAGAAGAAAATGACGTTTTGACCGTTATGCACTGTACAAAGTGATAGAGCGGATTTCGTATGAGTGGGACACCGTTACCGCACGGTTACCGCACAGTTACCGTACCTGGCCTGCACAATTTTGGTGAACCAATGGGCCACTAGAATTTGGTTACAGTACGATCACAGTCACAGTACAGTACCGTCCGTTTCCCACTCATACGAAATCCGCTCTAGGCTCAAACAACTAAAAAGTAGTATATATTATCCTTGATACATTTTCGTTTGCTTCTTTACTAGATGCTGATGAGTGCCTTGTTAATCCATGYCGAAACGGAGGTACGTGTACGAATAATGTTGGAAGCTATTCATGTAACTGCACAGCAGAATGGACAGGGAAAAATTGCAATCAAGGTTAGTATTTGGTTGTACATTTCTGAGATTCGTTGCTATTTTTGTCGTTGTCATTTTATTCTCATATCGTTCTCGTCTTATTTTTACTCGACAAATTTCAAATATCGATTTTCACATGTGTCAATCAATGCAAATGGGACGGAAGTGAGAAGAAACAATAGATTGAGGAAAATTGCATTGGACTCGACGCATGTACGATTCAAGTGAGGAAAAGTAAGATTTTTTGCGGACATCGTTAAAACTACGTGTGTTTACTGTACAACCTGACCTTCAAGATGGCGGCCAGCGCGGTTGCTACGGGATACGTGACGTCAGCGAAAAACCTCTATATGCTTCCTTCTTGGCTATTGTCTTCGACTTTCTACATCATCGTGGCATTATTTCGTCCTCTTCTCTTATCGTATATTTCCCTTTTATAGATGTGGATGATTGTCTCTCRCTTCCTTGTAAAAATGGCGGAACTTGTCTTAACAACATCGGAGGTTTCACATGTAATTGTAAGCCAGGATGGCAAGGGGAAATATGTGATCAAGGTATAATTCACATTCACAATATCACTAGTTGTAGATACAAATCTTTCAAGCTCACATTTGCCATCTTGAAAAGTAGCGAAGCCTAAATACCTGAACCGATTTGAGCTTGCAGTGATTGATACTTTTTTTCTACCTAAGACAATTATTCGCAGGGGTCTATTATTCCAAGTTAAAAAGGACCATCTTACTTCGATGCATAGGAAGAACAGCTACCTCAGCATTGATAACGATCATGCAAATAAAAAAAATGTCCATATTCAATATTTTCAAACGATAGACAAAAGATTTAAAGCTTCTTTTCACTTCACATTTTGCAAAAAATGATTCTTCAATTTCTTATTATGGCTCAACTCAGAAATAGATGCATGCGTTAGCGATAAACTGTCTCAATTGTCCTAGATATCAACGAGTGCTTGGATAAACCTTGTCAAAACGGAGGAACATGTACCAATACTGTTGGTAGCTACAYATGCGCTTGCACAGCTGGATGGGAAGAGGCGAACTGTGATCAAGGTTAGTCAAGATGAGTGAGTGAAAACGGAGCAACGTGAACAAGCAACTCACTCAGCACAAAAGGGAGTCAAAGGATTAAGACACTTTTGAWGCAGCGAGTGAATAAATTGCGTCTTTTGGAAGACTGGATATTTCCGCAAGAGACAAGACCCCTTTTGTGATGTACTCTCTCATATTTATTATCATTTATTGCAATTTTCTTTGTAGATGWAAATGAATGTCTAAAAGATCTGTGTAAAARTGAAGCAACGTGTACCAACAGTCCAGGAAGCTACAAATGCAACTGTATTCCAGGCTGGACAGGACAAAACTGCGACAAAGGCAAGTAGACGGAATAGCAAGACATGTTATATTTAAGACTTCTTGACGAATCATTTCTTTTTTCCAGATATCAACGAGTGCTGGAAAAGTCAATGTAAAAATAAAGGAATATGTACCAATACTGCTGGAAGTTATTCGTGTTTTTGTACGGCAGGATGGACGGGGCAAAATTGTGACGCAGGTAAAACTGGTTAAACAGGTTCCCCTTCTAGAAGTTAAACAGGTTAAACAGGTTATTTGTTAAATAATTCATGCTCAAAGAACTATGGGATCAAATTAAGAGTTTATRGATATTCGAATATTTGTTGTATCTAGAGTAAAAAGAATTAATGAACTGAAATGTTTTTAACGATTTTAGACGTTGATGAATGCATATATAGTCCATGT